GTTTGATGGATTAAACTGTGCGAGTGCCTAGCTTGATCCTGGATGATGGGAGGCACTGAAACATATACATTGCATTAAGCAAGAAAAGATGATTGAACAACATTGTGTAATGACATATTTATAGCAATTAGGCATACAAATATCTATACTCTCCAACTATCCTTTTTTTTATTTGTGTTGAATTTTGAATCCATACATTTATTAAATAGTTGATGATTTTATTAAATGGTTGTTAGCTTAAAATGATGTCTTTTGACTCACAGTTGAGTTAGTTCTCAAGAAATTCTGGACTCCAAAATACTTAAAGTGATCTTACTTGGAATTTTATCAGATACATTTACTCATTTATAATTCTTATGTCATCTTAATGGATGACCGCTTTGTTATTATGAAATGCTCTACTTTATTTTTCATAATACTTTTTGTCTTAAAGTTTAATCTGTCTGACATTAATATAACCACTCTAGACTTCTTATGCTGCTTTCATGCTATTTCTTTTCCATGGATTTAATTTAAACTGATTTCTATCTTTATATACAAAGGTTGTCTCTTAACAGAATATAGTTGTTCTATTTAATCAATTCTGATAAACTCCACATACTAATTAAAGTTTATAGTCATATAATTACTGATATGGTTGCATAGAGTACTACAATTTTATTATTTGTTTCTTGTTTGTCTCCTTTGTGTTCTTGACCTCTATGCCTTTTTCCCTGAATTCTTTTTGGATCATTAAAAAAAAAATAGTATTCTATTTTATCTATTGTACTTTTAGTGCCTGTTTTAGGGAAAAAATATACATCCCTGACCTTTCACAGTCTATTTAGACTGTGTAAATCTTGCAAGTGCATAAGTCCATTTATCATTTTTTATGCTAGAAATGTCCAATGCATTGCATCTATACACAGTATATTATAAACACTACAAAGTGGTGTTATAATTTTTTCATTAAAAGGTTCTATAGCCCTGGCCAGTCACCTGAGTTGGTTGGTGCATCATTCCACACACCAAAAGATTGCTGGTTCTATTCCTGGTCAGGACACATACCTAGACTGTGGGTTCAATTCCTGGTCAGGGAACATATGGGAGGCAACTAATCAATGTTTCTCTCTCACACTGATTTTTCTCTCTTATTCCCTTCCTCTCCCTCTATATCAACAAACATATTCTGCTACAGATAAGGATTTTTAAAATAAAGGCTCTAAATATTTTAAAGATACTAAGATGAAAAATATACATTTATATCTACCATCTCTGACAGTCTTCATTCCTTCCTGAAGATTTAAGCTTCTATTTTATCTCACTTTAGCCTGGATGACTTCCTTTAGCATTTTTTTGTGGTGCAGATCTACTGGCAATGAATTCCCTTAGTTTTATCTGAAAATGTCTACAATTTGACTTTATCCTCAAAGGATATTTTCACTATATGTAGATTTCTGGATGTTTAACAGGTTATTTCCTCTGTACTTTTCAAACTGCTTTACTTTTTCTGGTCTTTGTAGTTTCTGATTAGAAGTCAGTGCACACTTAAAGCCTTGTTCCCTGAAATGTAATGCACCATTTTTCTCTGGCTAATATCAAGATTTCCTCTATATTATCGGTATCCATGAGTTTGAATATGATGCACCTAGGCATGATTTTCTTCTTGGGGCTCATGAAGTTTCTAGATCTATAAATTTATGCACCTCTCTAAATTCGAAAATCTTTAGCCATTATTTCTTCAACTATTTTGTCCCATTCTCTTTCTCCTCTCCTTCTGAGAATTCAATTACATATGTATTAGGCATTTTTATTTTTGTTACACAGGCCCCTGAGGCTCTGCTTATATATATTTTTTCTGTTCAGTATTTTAAATCTCCTTTTTGTTAGAAAGAGGATTTCTACTGATCTATCTTTAGGTTCACTGACACCTTCCTCTGTTACTTCTGATATAAGTCCACTCTGAATTTTTATTTCAAATATATTTTTCAGTTGTAGAATTATGACTTGGTTCTTTCTGTGTTCCTAGTTACTATGTTTTTATTCACTGCAAGTATATTTTTCTGTCCTTCACTGAGTATTGTTATGACAGCTTCTTTAAAATATTTGCTAAGTCACACATCTGGACGACCACAGAATTAGTCCCAAATGATTGCCTTTTCAACTCATGAGGGTTTACATTTTCTTGGTTCTTCATCTGCTATGTAAATTTGGATTATATCATGTGAATGTATGAATATGAATATTATGGTGTGAAGCCTATTAGAGATCTTTGAAGAACATTGATTTATTTGTTTTAGTGGGCAACTAACTTGGTTACACTCAAATTGAAAAATCTCTATTGGTTGGCAGCTGAAATCTCATTTCAGTTCTTTTATCTTTATCTGTGTTGTGTGTGTCTGCTCCTTGCATGTGTGCTTCAAGGGTCCGTCAAAAACATGGGCAGTGTTTACACAAAGAATCATGAGATTTCCCTGTCTGTCTCTCTCTTTTCCAGGATTCTGGCTTCATTTCCCAGTGACTGTGGTTACCTGAACTCTGTTCTTTCGGTTTTCAAACTAAAAAGACTGTGGCTTTCAATTGGAGTTAGCCACCCATGTCATGATAACTTCAGCCTATCTTTAGTCTAAAAGTTGTAAAATGGGGAACTCACTCTGCACTGGTCTCTGCTTCCAAGTTTTAAGTTTCAATTACCCCCTAGAATCTGCTTGCTTATTTCCATTGTCAAATGCCATCAGGTAGTTTTTTTCCCTCATACTTAATAGCTGTCACCTGTGAGAATGTCAGGTTCAGTAGAGCCAAACTAGAAGTGAAAACAAATACAAACATTTAAAAAACATTCCTTTGCTTCTCCTAGTTCCTCTACTCAAAATACTTAACCTCTACCCATAACCTCATCTAGTGATACTTGGTTTTGGTTTTAAGTAGAAATTTTAGTCAGACTCAGAGACTCCTTGATGATCTTGCCAAGCATATGAAAATATTTGGAATGAAAGCACAGCAGAAAGTTAAATGATAAAACAGCAATTAGATATTGCTCCTAAACTGGCAGCATTTCATCTCAGAGCAATGAGGCTTGTACAGAATCACAGCTACCAAAGATGATCTACATGGAACTTTGTCATGTTATTTATTTTACCTTCCATATTTTTTGTTCTAGGATATCCCTATATCCTGCCTCACTGAAACTGCAATAGGTAATATCCTAAGAAAAGCAGAATATTAAAAACAGTATGTTTAAATGCCAACACAGAGTTGGTAAGCACACATTTCCTTCTAATAATATTCCTATGGCTACCAATTCTTAAGGGGATTTATATGCCAGGCAGTTTGCTAATCTGTTACATAAATTGTCATTTAATCCTTCATAACCATTGTAGGAGGTAACTTCTATAATTAGCCTCATGTTATGGATGACAAAGCCAGAATTCAGAGAGGTTAAGTGAGTTAACCGAGATGACACAGCAAATACCAAAAATCCAAGTCAGTCACCTTAAAGAGGATAAACAGCAGAGTGTGTATCTGGCATTAGGAAGGACATGCCCTTTACTTCGGAAATGAAAAAGAAAGTTTTTCCAAAGAAAGGAGAAGTAAGTGAGGATTTTAACACTTGAAGTTATATTCTATAATTCCTCTTTCCATTAATCACTTACATTAAACTGTCCCTATTTCTGATATATATTTTTATTAATAGCTTTCCCATTCCAAAAAAAAGAAGAAAGCTTTGCTTCATAGCTTAAAAGCACTATCCACAACAATAACACAAGGATCAAATGATTCTAGCAAAGACTCATAGAGGCATGTAATACCAGTGTGCCATTTCACCTCATTTACTGACCCTAAACCTTCTCTGTTTTCCAGATAAACACTAATCAGGGAGGTGATTCACCAGAGAGAAATTGGGAACATGAAGAAGAGGCCTGCCTCATTCCATCAGATCTGCATTTGGTGAGTACTTTTCATCGAGATGCAGCAATGCCTCAAGGTCCTACAAATTTTATGGGCAATCCTGCCTAAATCATGGGTTTCAAGTGACTATGGAATGAGACAGAAAGGAAAGCAGAGTCCAGTTAGTAGAGATACACCATAAAGTGGAAACCAGAGACAGGGCCTTGACTGCAAGCAACAAAACAAATACACATAGTATCTTTGTGTTCTGGCACATGGAGCTTTTCAATATCTGTATTGATTAAATATGTTAAGTTGTTTGCTAAGACCTCATAATGAGAAATATTTTTAAGGGAGTAAAGATGAGAAGGAGTGAGTAGAAAAAGAGAGGAATATATATATAAACACGAGTTCTAAGAGTTAAAGAAATACATTCCACTGACAATATGCTGGGGAAATTTTACTACATTAGCTCATTTTTCCTCCTTTCTTGCTATTTTTTAATGCATACTCAAAAAAGCCAGTATAACTACTCAAAGACATAGGAAGGTAGGTAAGTGACTATTTTGCCCTCTCTTCAAGACTTTTCACAACTTTATCCTTCGTTGGTCCTAACACACACCACTAAGATTTAACTCTGACCACTAACAGTCCCATGCCATTTCAACAGGTATGTTTCATATCAGAAGCATCCTCCTATTGCTATTAATTTTATTCCAATTCCACAATAATTCTCAAAGACATGCTACCCATAACAAACCTGACTGTGAAACTACTTAACCTTACTCCTTACAATATAAAAATTATTAAACACGTGTAACCATCTGGTGGGGTGAGAATAATATAATAGCATGTCAATCAGGTAAAAGTTAAACTACATTTCACAGAAAAAAAAAGATAATGCTTTCTTTAAAAAATGAAGTCATCACTCCTTTATTTAACTGACACAATATTTACACCCCAATTTTCAAAAGGCAGCTACAAATAGAAGTCAAGAGAGGATAAATTCTCAAAGGGAATTGAGCCCTGACATTTTACAATTTTAAAAGTTCTATTTTATATGTACTACCATAAGGATACCCATAGTAGGTCAATTATAACAATTTATAAATTTTAAATTAAATAAATACTACCTCTTCGACGACTGTTACCTCCTCAGTGATCAGTGGCAGGATGGACGAGGCTTCTACCCAGGGTCTAGGTGGGCAGGCAGTTTGGAATACCTACACCAAAAACAAGAGATTCCGATGATTTTAGCAGTGATCTGAATAGCTTCTAGGTACAACTTTATTAGGAACACTCACTATGAATACTGAGTTAGCTGACTGCATTGGTGTTGTTAAAAGGATATAATAAAGGCACTTGTATGATTTCTGTAGCCATTATCATTACTCTGCATAAGTTCAAGAGTGGCTTAAGTGAATCACACAAGATCACATATAGGAAATGGCCGAATGGTGCCTGGTCTCTACAACTCCTCATTTCTACTCTAGGACTGTTCTACCTGAATTATTTAACCAACCTCCGGAGCTAACCAGTCCTGGCACTGGAACTTTCTATTTTGCAAAAAGATGAGGCTGATCCGCACATGAGGCTGGAAGAAAGAGTACTTCTCTAGTTCTGAAGTGGTCTGTTCCTAATCATCTGTCTAAACAGTGTTTTGTGGGTCACTTTACTTGAGTAAATGATATATCTTGATATATCTATCAAAAGGATAAGTTTTTTAGCCCTGGCTGGTGTGGCTCAGTGGATTAAGCGCCGACCTGCAAACCAAAGGGTCGTTAGTTCAATTCCCAGTCAGGGCACATGCCTGGGTTGCAGGCCAGGTCCCCAGTAGGGGGCGTGAGAGAGGCAACCACACACTGATGTTTCTGCCTCTCTCTCCCTTTCCGTCTGTCTAAATATAAATAAATAAAATATTTTTAAAAAGGATAATTTAAAACAAAAAAATAAGGATTAGTACCAAGCATAGTTCCAGTTCCTGGCACATATAAGATGCTCAGGCAAAGTGAGAGCCCTGTGCCCCACCTTACTTTCAGAATTAACTTCCAGTGACAAGGAGATCAGAGAGACCTCACTATCCATCAAACACTCAGTAACAGAGTACAGGATATTCCTCCTGTTGGTCCGCCCTTCTGTTCTGACCTCTACCTTTGTTTCCCATTCATATGACCTTCTGACATTCTTTGAAATAAAACTATCATAACAATAAGCACCTACTTACCTCCTGGGATTTTGTTTAAAGGTAATTATTTTCTTTCTTTGTCTAATGTTTTTTGTCCATATCATGCTGTATGGTCTGCTCAGTACAATAACTGAACACAGGTAATCACTCATTCAAACAAGATTTATTGAGTTTCTACTAAGGTATCAGGACTGCCCTCTATAGTAGTGAACATAATATATATAACCCCAAATCCTACCTTCACTATGCCCCCTTTTTAATTGGGAAGACAGACAATAAACTTAATAAAAATGTAATATTTGTGATTGGTTAAATCATCCTACATACTCTGGAGAAACACAGAGTGGGAAAGAAAATAATGAGGAGTGTTATGAGTTGAATTATGGCCCTTTCCCTCAAAAAAGAAACATTGAAGTCTACCAGTATCTCCAATTCTCACCACCAATATCTCAGAATGTGACCTTTTTTGGAAATAGGATCATAACAGACATAATTACTTAAGGTGAGGAGCAGAACCAGTTCCTACTCCAATATGACTGGTATCTTTATAAGAAGAGAGCCATGTGGCAACACACACACACACACACACACACACACACACACACGGTGAATGTCACATGATGACGAAGGCAGAGACAAGTTATGCAGCTGCAGGCCAAGAAAGGCCAAAGGCTGCCAGCATTCCACGGAGGCCAAGAGGAAGCAAAAAAGGATGCTCTGCAGGTTTCAGAGGGAGCATGGATTTAGATTTCCAGAACTGTGAGACAATAATTGTCTGTGCTCTTAAATCACCTGCGTTGTGGTTCTTTGTTGTGGCAGCCCTAGCAAAGTAATATAGTGAGTTTGGGGAAATTGTAGCATTTTTAAGCAAGGAGATCAGGAAAGATCTCACTGAGATGATAATGTTTAAGGAAAGACCTCACTGATATGAAAAAGACGAGTCTGGATTTAAAAAATTCTGGGCAGAAGGAACAGAAGATACTAAGGTCCAAGGCAGGAGAATGCTTGGTGTTAGAAAAACAGCACAGCCTGGAGGCCAGTGTGATGATGCAGGGAGAGGAGAGTGGTGGGAGAAAAAGTCAGAGCTGTTACAGTGGTTGGAGGGAGGGAGGGAGGGAGGGAGGGAGGAAGGAAGGCCATCACTAACTAGTTCTTGACTGCACTTCAATTGGTCACGGAAGGTTAGTTTTTTGAGGATGAAAGTCAAAACCATGTTTTAATAGTCAGTGAGGCTGATGGTGATTCCTCCTAGGTTGGCTTAGCTTAGAAGGCTGAATTTAAGTCCAACCAGCAGGGGGAACCATCTGTCATTTGGAAAGACACTGAGCCCTCCATCAGGAGACTCCAGAAAGCCACCAGCAACCTACATCCTCAGCTCAGGCCAGTGCCTCTGGAACCACAGGGAAGAGAGAACACACATTTACAAAGTAAACTGAGAGTGCACCATGGACATCTTTTCAACATTTCTAAAAGGCTCACTTTAATTTTCTAGAAATAAGAGAACAATGTGCTTGATTAGTTCTTCAGAAGACTTAGCAATTTTGCTTTTACTATTACTGTCCTTGAAACAAATTTGCCATTAACTTTATATGTTCTAGGTCTTGAGATTACATATATTCTCCTTCCAAAATGAAATTTTTGCTTTAAAAAGTTAGCTTTCTGATAATTTTTAAAGCATCATTTATTGATTATGCTATTACAGTTGTCCCAATTTTTCCCCCTTTATCCCCCTTTACCCAGTACCCCCCTTCCCTCCAGCAGTCCCACCCTTAGTTCATGTCCATGGGTCATGCATATAAGTTCTTTGGCTTCTCCATTTCCTATATTATTCTTAACATCCACCTGTCTATTTTGTACCTACCAATTATACTTCTAAATCCCTGCACCTTTCCCCCCCCTTTCTTCTCCTTCCCCCTCCCAGGTGACTACCCTCAAAATGATCTCTATATCTATGATTTTGTTCCTGATCTGCTTGTTTGCTTAGTTATTTTTTTTTAGATTCAGTTGTTGATATTTGTGAATTTGTTGCCTTTTTAATGTTCATAGTTTTAATATTCTTTTTCTTAAATAAGTCCCTTTAACATTTCATGTAATAATGGCTTGGTGATGATGAATTCCTTTAGCTATTCATCACTTTGAATAGCAAGGTCCTTCCTATTCATCACTTTGAATACTTCTTGTCAGTCCCTTCTAGCCTGCAAAGTTTCTTTTGAGAAATCTGCTGATAGTCTTATGGTAACTTCTTTGTATGTAACTCTCTGCTTTTCTCCTGCTGCTTTTAAGATTCTCTCTTTATCTTTAACCTTTGGCAATTTAATCATGATGTGTCTTGGTGTGATCGTCTTTATGTCCAACTTGTTTGGGACTCTCTGTGCTTTCTGGACTTGCATGTCTATTTTCTTCAACAAATTAAGGAAGCTTTCTTTCATTATTTTTTCAAATAAGTTTTCCAGTTCTTGTTCTTCCTCTTCCCCTTCTGGCATACCTATGATTAAGATATTGTCATTTTTGGAGATGTCCCAGAGTCTTCTTTTACTCTCCTCATTTTTTTTTGAATTTTTGTTTCTTCTTTCTGTTCTGGTTGCATGTTTATCTCTTCCTTGTGTTTCAAATCATCAATTTGAATTCCGGCTTCCTTCTTTTCACTGTTGGTTCCCTGTGGCTATTTCTGTATTTCACTTAGTATAATCTTTATTTCCTCCCTAATGTTTTTACCATACTCATTGAGTTCTCTGAGCATTCTGATCACCAGTGTTTTGAACTCTGCATCTGACAGGTTGGCTATTTCCCTTTCATTTAGTTTTTTTACTGTGGTTTTGTTCTGTCCTCTCATTTGAGCCATATTTCCTTGTCTCCTCAATTTGGCAGCCTACCTGTGATAGTTTCTATGTATTAGGTAGAGCTGCTTTGACTTGACTCCCTGTCTTAACACAACTGTTTAAGCTGTAGGGGGAGGAGGTATTCATCAAGGCAGGGCAACCTGCTTCACCACTCTGTGGCTCTGTGTCAAGGAAGGGGGTTGGAGAGGGGACAATGCCACTGACTGTCTTCTGTAGGTTTGCCCAGCTCCAAGTCACTTCACCCACTTTCTGCATGTGACTAGCACCATTCTAGCAGTTGCCCTGGTAGTGATTCCAAGAGTGGGTGGATTTGCATATGCTCTAATCCCATGTGGGGCCTTTAAATGGACTCTCCTAAAAAACCAGTAGTTTCTTTTACCACATAACCCTCACTGGATTTTAAAGCCAGTGGTAATGGAGCTTTATCTTCCCCATGCTGGACCCCTGGGCTGCGGGGTCTGGCCTGGGGCTGGGATTGCTCACTTTCAAGGTATCCCTCCTGATTTTTATCCACCACATGTTCTTCAGGACCACCTGTTCTGCTACCACCACCTCTGCTGCCTCTCTGCTGGACTCCATGACTCCACCCCTCCTATCTGTCTTCTGGGTGAATGTGGCTTCTTTAAATCCTTGGCTGCTGGACTTTCATATAGTTTGATTTTCTAGCAGTTCTGGGTGTTTTTTGTTTAAAGTTAGATGTAATTCTTCTTGTGGTTGTATGAGGAGGCAAAACATGTCTACCTATCCCTCCATCTTCACCATAGCTTTCTGACAATTAATTTTTGTAGCTAATAACCAAAAGATCCTTTTTGAGATAAGGAGGTCATCCTTTAAAGAGGTTAGAAGAATGAAGATGGAGGAGGAAAAAAAACTTACAGGAAAGCTCAGTAATCATAAAGTGAAAGCCCAAAAGATTAGGTCAATATTGTATGTTTACAAATGTCTTATACTGTATGTGCATTTACTTGTGAGACCTTAGAGTCTTGAAGAAGCAGTGAGCCAAACCCATTAAGAAAAATCTGGCCTATCCCACATCTTTACATTATGCAACTAGGAGGCAGAAAGCACCATTTCAATTCTGGATCTGCCTCAATTATTTCACCCCATCATAGCCCTAGTATTTAAAAATCATCCCTTTCTGTTTGTCATGCTACAGATGGGGTTTGAGTTGGTTTCCAGCAATAAAACAAACAAGGTA